CTTGGAGGTGGACGGATAAAGTAATATTTTAATATTCTCTCCGTCTCATAACAAAGTATCAATTTTTCCATTTTAATCTGTGCCATAACAAAGTATCCATTTCATTTTTTTTAGTAACTGTACTATCTACCTAACATTACAAATACCCTTACAACTTACAATATATTACACAAATGTCATTAACTTTATATCACACATACTAATAAGGTTATTTTAGTTATTTCTACTTTATTCTTAGTACATCTCAATATAATACTAATATTTCTAAAACTACGTGTAAAAAGCAAATGAATATCTAGTTATGAAACGAAAAGAGTATAAAAGTGGAATATGTATAAAATAAGTATAAATATTATACTCCATCCGTCTCATAAGAAGGATATTATTTTCTATTTTTGTCCGTCCCAAAACAAGGGTACCATTTTCTAATTTAGTAACTGTACTAATATCCTTACAACTTACAATATATTACACAAATATCATTATTTTTATAACACACCATAGTAATAGGGACTTTTTTTATCTTTTTTTATTATAAACTAATATGATACTAATGTTCAAAAATTTACGTGCAAAATACAAACGATGCTCTTGCAGGACAGAGGGAGCATAAGATTTATTAAGATCAATAAAAAAATGTGATGTGACGAATAAAAGATAGGGAGACTTGGTCTGCACTCCCTGTCAGGAATATAAAATTTACATTCAGTCCCTATTATTAAAAAATTGATCTGCACTCCCTCCTTTTCAGTATTGATTTAGATTTAATCCCTATTTTTTTTTATTTTTTCATTAAATAATATAATATAAATACGATGTACTTTTAAAATATATTTAAATACTTTTAACATTTTTTTATATACTTATAGCACATTCCGATCTACCTATACTACGTCTCGCTGTACCTAAATTGTTCTACTATATACCTTTATTTACGTTTTGTGTACTTTTATATGTGTATTTAAAATAATAATAATAAATAATTATAATTATGTTTTATTATGGGATGAAACAAAAAAAACAACTACATACTTCTCATATCCCAAAGAAAATCTTATACCCGTCATTCTGGTTCATGTACCACAATATATTGAAATTTTTCCTCCTTCATGCAATCGATCGCTCTTATTTCCCCTCAAATTTATTCATATTCATTGAGATTTCTAAATTTGCACTAAAATTGTTGTATTATCGGAATCTAATTGTAAAATAAAATGTACGTAATATAAAAATTACAATATGACTAATTTATTGAAATACAATCCAAAATTGATACGTAGAATTTAAATAAAATCATGATATGTGTATATATATATATGTGTGTATGTATATATTCATTCAATCAATAGAATTACAAATTTATATTAAAAAAAATTGCAATAGAAAATTAAATATATAGATTTTAAATACAACAATGATTATATATATCATTTTATCAATATTAGTTTACTTACTCTTTTAATTCTACCTATAAAATGAAAAAATTTGATGTTAATAATTTATATTATTTTTGTACAAAATTCATAATTATATTTAATATAATATTCCCTCTGTCCCAAAAGAGATGTCTTATTGGGTGTTGACACGGGAATTAAGAAATAATAGTATTTAATTAAAAGTAGAGTATAAAATAGAATATAAAAGACTAAAAATTCCTTACTTTTTGAACGATTTTAAAAGTATGGTAGAGTAATAACTATGGGTAGTTTGGAAAAGTAGAAATAATTTTGTTATAAAATGGGGACCACGGTTACTAAATAAAAGAAATAAGACAATTGTTTTGAGATGGACGAAAATAAAAAAACAAGACAACTCTTTTGGAACGGAGGAAGTATAAAATATTACGTAAATATTATAAAAATATTATATATAATATAAACTTTATCATATGATTCAATATAATATTAGCACAATAAATATCTATCTATCTATATATATATAATTATTCTATCAAATATTTAAAATCCTATATATAAGATACAATTTTTTTTTTTAAAATATTAATACTAGTAATAAAATTTATTTATAGTATTTTATATATTTTAAATACTTACTATGTATAAATATTAGGGTTCGTTTGTTTTGTGTTTTGATTTGAAAGATTTTTTTTTTTATGTGAAATATAAAAAAAATATAGATAATATAAATATCATGAGTGTGCGTAAATATATTAATTTTTGTAGAAAAATATGTTGAAATTTTTTCAAAAAACAAACAAATCCTTATTCTATAGAAAATATATATATATTTTTTAATCTTTACTAATATTTTTATTTTTTTATTCTAAAACGTGAAAATAAAATAAATATAAATATAATTTTATTAAAAAAAAGTAAATTAATTTTTTAAAAGAATTAATAAAAACAGATATAGTCATTTTTTTTTTCTTATTCAACAATTCTAATTATAATAATACACCTAAAAAGTAAATATATAAAAAATAAATTATTTAAATACACATTCTAAATATTCATGCATATACCATTTTAACATTTATGCATATACCAGTTTAACATTCATGCATATACCCCACTGATAGAGGTAATGATATCACAGAGTGCTTTAATTGTCTTCTTCGTTGGGAAATTGATTGATATCAACTACATTTTAAAATACCTACAGCTATATATATAATATTTAATTAACCACCAATTATACATTGACTACCGGTGTTTGTACCTCGAGGATATTGTTGCATATGTGCACTAAAGATATACCCTAGTGTAAGTGTTATGTACTTGCAATATAAAGTCATATGCTCCGCTAACGCGTATATATGCTTTGGTTATATATGGTAGGAAAAATGGATCGTGTTCGGTTCAACATATTCAATTGCTCTTAGTAACCAGAGATAAATTCATCATTATTGTGTTATCACGATTCCCTGACATGTAAGTAAAGAAAAGAACACATGTTTACTATAGATGGCCAAACAAGTAAGAAATGACGTTGTTAAGTTTGTTGGTTGTTACTCATGCATCACTACTCTCACAAATTGGTTATTTTTTAGACATATTGCGTAGTAATCCACACCGTAACACACACAACAACATTTAGTTCACCAAGGCTGAGAGAGGAAGTGTTCTCACCAAGTATGCGAATTGGCCCTCTCCATAAAAATAAATGAAATTAACTACACTTGAAGATACCTGATAATACACAAAAAATACCTAAGAAACCATTATCTATACTTCGCATGTAGGTGTTTGTACCCAGATCACATTCTTATGTACCTACATAAAATATCGACATACCCTAGCGCGGATCTTAACTACTTATAATAATAGTTTCATATGCTTCAGTAAAGAGTATATATGCTCCAATAACATGTGGTTGGAGAACAATAATTTTTTGTTCAAAATATTCATTTGTTGACGGTAACTAAGGATGCGATCATTATCATAATCTTCCTGTGACACCTCAAATTGTCAGAAAAGGTAAACAACACATATTTATTATGAATGGTTAACCAAGTAAAAAATGACTTGGATAGGTTGTATGATATATGTACTATTATAGTCCAACCTCAACTAGTAGATGTCTAATAAAGTCATAAGTGACTAAATTGAATTATATTGGTCGTTAGAGTACATGATTCCTATCACAAATTGAAAATATTTAGATCTATTACATATTAATTCACACCGTAGCGCACACAACAATTTTTGGTCAATGGCATCTAAGCATAGGGTATGACTCGGCTAAGCAGGTGAGTATTCTAGAGCAGCTATGTTGTACCTCCAACCTGGTTATATCAGGTACACCAAAACAGTTCAAACCGTCGGTTACGATTTATCAAAATGTCAAACCGAAACCGAACCTTCTGAATAACGGTTTCGATTGCGGTTTAAAAAACTGACGGTTACGGTTTGAACCGCCGATTTATGTACATTCATTTTTAATATTTTTTTTCCTTTTTAAGTTTTTCTAAATTTAAAAATTTATTCAAAAATATTATTTTCGATTTTAATTTCATTCAGATATATTTATTATTTATTTATTATGTAAAATCATATAAATAATAATTGCTAAGATTGTTACAATATAAAAGTAATTAAAATAATAAATTTACTAAGTAATTAAATCAAATTAAATTTTAAATTAAAATAAACAAAATTAAATTTTAAGAAATTGAGGTGTATTAGATAATAAGATAGTTTCAATTAAATATCAAATACAAAATCTAAAATATAAATAACCAAAATAATGTATATTATTATTATATAATTAATAATTATTTATTTTTATTAATATTAATATTATTTTTATTTTTATAACAATTTAATGATATATAGTAATTTCAATTACAAGTATATAATATACAATTTTAGCTTAGAACATCCACTCTCCATATTCCACCGCAGCTACAGTTGCAAAGGTTTGTTTTTCGTTTTTTTTTTTTGTATTTTCTTCTTTTTCATTTTTTTTTTTCTTCTTTCCTCCTGCTTCTTCTTCACTGTCGCTGCCCGCCCATAACATTCTATAATCCACAATCGCAGCCGGCGTACAGGTTTAAAATTAAAAAAAAAAAAATTAATGGCCGAACCGTCGGTTGAAACCGTAAACCGGCGGTTTGAACCAGCAGTTTGCACTTTGACAAATATATAAACCGTAACAAGAGGTTCGAAAACTGGTAAACCGAAGATTCGGAGCTACGTGGACAAATTTAAACAGAATGTGTTGTAAGTATATAAAATAAATTTGGAAGCATTTAAAGATATTCTAGAGGTACATTCAATTTTTATTTGAGAAAATCTAAAACAGGGACTAATATTAAACTAAATATGTAAAGGAGGGAGTGCAGACCAATTGTTTTAAAATAGAGACTGAATTATAAATGAACATTACCTGTAGGGAGGGCAGACCAATTGTCCGTAAAAGATACAGTCAAAGTAAATATTATTTATTAAAACAGAGATAATAAAATTATTATATTATAAACGAATTGTTTATAAATTTAAAGATATATCACATAATTGCAGCATATGAAGACACCACAGTAAACCACATTATTATTATTATTATTATTATATATTCCCCCACATCTTAGCTTTTTTATTTTTCCATCAATGGACGATCGTCAAGACCTAAAAGAAATGCAGCTTTTTTCCGGCACCGCTCCTCCGTCGCTGCCATGGCGGCCGGAATCTCCTACGCCGCCAAAATTCTGGCCGGCGGATCCCTTCGACGGCGGCGGCCGCCCATCCTTGGACCTGGACCTGCAGGACCTGGACCTGGAGCTCTCCATAAGCGTCAAGCCGGCTTCCGACCGGCTTCTGATACGCCGATCACTCCGCAAATTCGGCGGCGGCGGCGGCGGCGACGCCAAGATGGAGGCGCCGTCGGCGGCGTGCGTGGAGGCGCTGAAGTGGCAGGCGGCGGAGCAGATTCGGCTGGCGGCGATCGAGAAGGCGTACGCCGAGCGCGTGCGGGAGCTGACGCGGCGCGAGATGGGGCTGGCTCAGTCGGAGTTCGCGCGGGCGCGCCACATGTGGGAGCGGGCGCGGGAGGAAGCCGACCGAGCCGAGCGGATGAAGGAGCGAGCCGCCGCCTGCATGGAGATCACGTGCCAGTCTTGCAGGCAGAAGTTCAGACCGTAACTAGAATTATTACCTTGATTGAATGTCGATTATTATATATTGAAATACTTCCCTTAACCATCTATCCATTTTTCTTTTAATTATTCCCATAATAAAGTATTTATTTTTTTTTTAATAATTGTACTATCTACCTAACATTATAAATACGCTTTCAATTTACAATATATTACACAAATATCATTACTTTTATATCATACAATACTAATAGGGTTAATTTAGTCTTTTTACCTTTATTTATACTTTATTCCAATATAATACTAATACTTCTAAAATTCTTTGCAAAAAGCAAATAAATATATAGATATGAGACGGAGGGAGGTAACGGGGGTTACCGTAGTAAAGTAAAGTTTACTGGATCATATTTTTTTAATTATATGATCATTATTTTGCTAGGATTTAAAACAGAAACTTATGTTCGATTTTAATAACATGTGGTATTATTATTATTATTTTTAATTTGAAAATTATACTCCCTCCGTCCCAAACACCGTGTGCAATATTTGTGTTTAGTACGATAATTTAGGTGGAGAGTATTAAATATGTTAATTTGAGATAATTTGGATATTTAGTGATGTGATTGGAGAAAAAAATAATTTTTTTTTTATTTGAGTGATGCGATGGGATAAAGTGAAGTGTATATTAATATATATATATATATAAATATTATTAATTATTTCTAAATTTAAAAATATTGCAGTAAATTTAGAACAAACAAATAAGGAAATGTTGGAAAGTGTTTGGGACAGAGAGAATATTTCTTTTGTCTAGCATTTTATGTTTATATTTTGATTTTAGTCCGTCTAACTATTTTAATTATATTTTAAATTTTTCAATTTACAATCTTTAAATTTTAATGAGACTAATTAATTATTTTAATTTTAATTTTAATTTATAATTATTTAATGATACTATAGTTAATATTTATTTATATATTTTTTAATTATTTATTAATCACAAGGAAAACATATTATTTTCGTCTATTTTATATGTTGTTTGTTTATCTTAAGTAAATTTAAAGATATTAATATTTTGCTTATTATAGATCAAATATATTGATAAAAATGCTCTTGAAAATAATGAAATTAAAATAAGATGCCAAGTTGTTAGCATAGAATAATAATAAAGCATGCTGCAACTTAGAAGGAATTCGATTAACTTTAGATATAAAACTACATATTTTTTGGGCAAAATGTCGTCGAAATGATGTTACAAGGAGCATTTTTATCACTTGTGGTTTGTCGTAAATTCGATTTGTTTATCAAAATCACATATATGTTGAAAGGACAAACTTGCCAAATTAAGACCATCGAAAAACAAGTAGATCCAGTAAAAAAAAATGAATTACGAATTAATGTATGGTCAACCGAGATAATATTATCGGTGAATTCGTTTTTATAAATAATGTGTTTATATTCAATTATCAAACTTATTCTATCATTTTCATATTTTGATACTAAAAGCAATTTGAATTCACAATTTCGATCTCGAAATGAAGCGTAAGTAAATTTACTGAATCAAATCGCTACTGGATTTTGAGTTGAGATTTGAATAGTAAAAATTTTGAATTTGAATAGTTGTATGATGTGATATAAATAAGTGTTGATGTGATGTTTTGAATGTAAAATTGATTTTTAGTATAATATAAAAAATGAAAAATAGGTGTTTGATTTGATGTTTTTGGGGAGAAAAAATAGGGTGAATAGTGTATTTAATATCCAATCCCTCAAACAAACACACCCTTAATAGAACAAAAAGGTGAGATAATAATAATAAGTAGAAATCTAAAAAATTTATTATCTTTATGATACTAAGATAATACTATTCAACTATCTTTTATTCGTCATTATCTTTTCAATTGTTTTTTATCACTCTTATACGGATGAACTTACATATTATCTTGTATTACTAGCACAATTTATAGGTTATTATGCTCGGCCGGAGGTTTACTCAGTATAAATCGAAAGTAGTCTTTTATTGTTGGACTGACATAGTATATCTTATTGTTGATGTAATTTTTCAACAAAAATAAAGTAAAATTCAAAGATATAGAAAATATCCTTAAACTTGATTAATTAGTGCATGAGATTAGGAATCTCTAAACACTGTATGGTACAGAAAATAAACTGGAAAATAAAAGACTGAAATTTAAAGTGGTGATCCCCAAATCTGACTTTGCTTTGTTGAAGTTGATTGAAGATGCCTTGCCAAATGATGATCCAAATCCTTAAATATTCTTTGAAGAAAACGTTCAGAACCGTCGCACTGTTTCACCAACCGTTCCCACCAGTTACAGAACTCAGAACTGCCTCTTTCATTGACACATGTCTTTAACCGCCTCGCCAACCGCATAACCCAACGACCGACCGACCAACCGACCAATCTAGATACATAATTGGTCGCCAGATCAAAAGACTCACTGGTCGCCCCATCAAACGACCACTATTTGGTCTCTTCAATCGTCTGACCTATCAACAGACCTTTCTTCGCCCGACTTCCTTTTTCGACCGACCCCCATAGCAGCCAACCTTTGTATCAACCGACCCATTTATCCGACTGCGGATAATCCGACCTGCTTGCCCGACCGCGGACCATCTGACTTGCTTATCTGATTGAGAACCAACCGACTGAGAACCCACCGACTGACTCTGGATACCTTATTATTATTATTATTATTATTTTTTGTGAGTAACAACATGCCTCCTCCTCAAGACTCCTAAGCATCATTTCTTATGATGTTTTAGGAGTTAGTAGGTTAGCATCCGAGGCTACGTCAGCCTCAGATCCGACCTCCATCCTTTGAGGCTACGTTGGACCCGATCTCCATTTATCGCGGACTGGTGCTGGCCTGGACGTTGGTCGATCTTGCACTACCATTGTATTCAGACTCCCGTCCGACTTATTCCTCCTTTCGGCCACTGTTGTTCTGTCATTCTTTTGCTCGCCTGAAAAGTTATGGTCGGCGACCTGACCCGTGTCCGTCCATTCGGCGGGGTCCTCCTGACCTGTATCCGTCCATTCGGCGGGGTCCTCCTGACCTGTATCCGTCCAGGTTACGTAGTCCTCCCGATTTTTGTCCGTCCAGTCGACGTGGTCTTCCCGATCTGTATTCGTCCAGTCGGTGTGGTTCTCCCGACCTTTGTCCATCCAGTCGGTGTGGTTGTCCCGACTACGGTCCGTCCATTCGGTGTGGTCCTCCCGACCATGGTCCGTCCAGTCGGTGTGGTCTTCCCGACCATGGTCCGTCCAGGCGTCCTGCCGACCTGTCTCCGTCCATTCGGTCGTCCCTGGTCGTGCCTGTCCTCCTGTTTGGTCCTGTCTCCAGTCTGTCTGACTGGGTATATGCTCAGGAATGGCGTTGTCCGTTTGGGGGCATGACATTTCTGGCGGTGCAGGAACCGAATTCAACATGAATTTTGATTGCTCCATCAAGTTTTGCATTGCGTCATGTATTGCCTGCAGATTTGCTATCTGCTGGTCGTACATTTGCCGAAAACCTGCTGTCAATTCGGCCCGTAGTTGGGAAGCTTCTTCTGCCGTGATAAAGCCAACGGCTGTACTGTGGAATTGAAAATTTGCCATATGGATCAGCAATTTTCTCCCACTGTGGTCGCCAATTTGTTGATGTAATTTTTCAACAAAAATAAAGTAAAATTCAAAGATATAGAAAATATCCTTAAACTTGATTAATTAGTGCCTGAGATTAGGAATCTCCAAACACTGTATGGTACAGAAAATAAACTGGAAAATAAAAGACTGAAATTTAAAGTGGTGATCCCCAAATCTGACTTTGCTTTGTTGAAGTTGATTGAAGATGCCTTGCCAAATGATGATCCAAATCCTTAAATATTCTTTGAAGAAAACGTTCAGAACCGTCGCACTGTTTCACCAACCGTTCCCACCAGTTACAGAACTCAGAACTGCCTCTTTCATTGACACATGTCTTTAACCGCCTCGCCAACCGCATAACCCAACGACCGACCAACCGACCAATCTAGATACATAATTGGTCGCCAGATCAAAAGACTCACTGGTCGCCCCATCAAACGACCACTATTTGGTCTCTTCAATCGTCTGACCTATCAACAGACCTTTCTTCGCCCGACTTCCTTTTTCGACCGACCCCCATAGCAGCCAACCTTTGTATCAACCGACCCATTTATCCGACTGCGGATAATCCGACCTGCTTGCCCGACCGCGGACCATCTGACTTGCTTATCTGATTGAAAACCAACCGACTGAGAACCCACCGACTGACTCTGGATACCTTATTATTATTATTATTATTATTATTATTATTATTATTATTATTATTATTTTTTGTGCGTAACACTTATATTATTGACATATTTTTTTAACCTATTGTACTTAGCCAGAAGTTTATTCAATAAAAATTTGAAAAAATATGTAATGCCCCGATTTCGGAATGTATAAAATAATATTATTATAGCAAATAAATATTTGACAATAGTAATGGAATCAAGAAATTAATATTTTGGGATAAATTATATTCCAATTTTGTATATTAGTTATAATTAAATAGACTGTTAAACGGATAAATATCGATAAAGATAAATATAAAATATAATATATATAATAATATAATAATAATAATAAAGGTAATGATGATGAAGATAATATTTGTAATAATAATAATAATAATAATAACGTTAATAATAATAATATAATATAATATATATAATAATAATATAATTGTATATATTTATACAAACTCAAACCTTACCTGCGAAGGACGACCAAAAGCAGAAGAATGCGAAGGAGAAAGAAGAGAAAAAAGAAAAGAAGAAAGAAAAAGATTTAGCCGTCCGATTCCAATTCCGACTTGGGTGTACGTTGGAGGAGATTTGGGTGAAGTTATAAAATCCAGAAAGTATCGGTAGGAGGTAAGCAGTAGGGAATTAAATCTAATTTTAAGAAATTAGGTATTTATGTTGCATGTGATTCTGATTCTGATATTGATATGATATTATGTGGAATCATTTGGTCAGTGCATCTATATATGTATATATGTGTGTGTATATGCATGTGTGAAACTTCGTTTTACGATATTTGATATACGTATTTGATCGTGTTGGTGAATTTATAAAAAGGAGGATAGGTG